TTCAGCCTTGCTTTCCAGAAAGGAATCTTCACAGAGTATGACATTTTTGGCCCTTCCTCTTGCCAAAAGGGGAATTCCAGGAAGGCAGAAATAGTTCTGAAGGAGCACATAGGTATCCGGGCTGACAGGACCATAAGTGTTGTCCAAGCAATGACATCCGTTTTAGCTAGAGAACACCAGTTTCCTTCCCGAGAGCCACATGTCCCATTCTTCAACTTAAATCCCTTTGAAACCCAGGTGTCCATGCCCCTGTGCCAAAAAAAAAAAAAAAAAAAATCACTGTTTTAAAGGAGACGAGATCTGTATTCTCAAGGATATTGATTGCCTTTGAACAAAATGATGTAAATATGGAACCAGGTGTGTACTTGGATGTTAGTTTCACTTGGACACGAGGAGCCAAATCCCACCTTTTCTGTTGGTTTGGGGCAAAGTGTTTAGGGGTTTTTGGTTTGTTTTTCCCACTTGGTCACTATTTTTCCTTGGTGGAAGGTTGGCAGGTTGCTAATGGGTTTTATTTCCTTGGTGCTGCTCCATATTCACCTGTTTCTGACTGTGACAATAATTCCAGTGGCAATCACCAGCTTTCTATATTTATCAGCAGCTGCTTCAGCGATGTGGAAACAATAGATATAGAGTAGGACACGTTGTTCTTTATACAAGAGCTCATTTAGACTGAGCATGGGGAGAGTGAACAATCCAGCATAACTATTTTCTCTCTACATCTTTTCCAGCATGATGTAAGGCTTAAGCAAAGAATATGGTTTCGTCTAGAGATTAATGTGTAGGCTCTGTGGAATAGACCAGAGTATTATGGGTCAGCTGGTGTGGGCCGGTATTCCGTTTTCTAGGAGATGTTCTTTGTTGATTTGCTTGATTTATGTCTTAAGGTTTGAGATGAAGGAGTCCCAACTCCAGCCTCTACTTCCAGCCCAACTTTACCAGCTGGCTGGCTTTAGGTATTCAGCATTTGGTGGGTTGTTTGCCTTCTTTGAAAGAGATTATCCAAATCAGTTATAGAGCATCCCCCCTCCATGGGGCATTGTGGAGGGCACTGAGGATCAGAGAGGTATAAGACACCACCTATGATATCAGAGGGCTTCTAGATTGCAGGGCACTTGACTGGGAGGATTGGGAAGACTAGCTGGTACCATGTTTATAAAGCCCTCATCACATAGTGCCTCGTTCATAGAAAGCCCTCAGTGCAGAATGATCCTATTGGTCCTTATTGTTCTTAAATTGTGTCTTTCATAGCTTTGAAATTTCTGGACACTAAGGTGCTTGTAAAGCAAGCAAGACTTAGAGTCAAGAAATCTGTTTTCTCATCCCAGCTCTGCCCCTAACCAAGGGAAAGGGAGGCTGTGCTGAGTGCCTAACATATACCAAGCATTCCAGGTGTTCTGCAAAGCACTTCACAATGCACCACCTCTTCTCTTCCTAGGAAGTGGGTATTATTAGCATTTCACAGATGAGGAAATAAGGGTCTAGAGAGAGTAACTTGTCCCAGTCTTCCTGACTCCAGAGCCCGAGTTCTACAATCCCCACACCATCTACCTCCTTAGACTGCCCTGCTCTTGTAGCAAGGAGACCTGGAATAACTCCTCCAGCCTCCCTGAGCCCAACAGTCTCCACTTAAATAGAGTTGAAAAGCCACCTCTGAAGTTTATCTTCTGCTTAAAAAATTCTATCACCCAGCATTTTCCTTATTGTTTTAAATCTTTGCTGCCACCTAGTGGGATTTATGTAAGCAGGAAGAAAAATGTCCGTTCGATTTCGATTAAAAACTGTCAGTTCATTTTAGTCCATCCCATGGATGTACCCTTTAAAAATCATATTTCTAAGCAGGTATCATGGTCTTCTGCTTTTAGCTTTATATCTACCAGATGTGAGATCCCCATGAGAGTTTTGGTGAGATGCTGGGCTACATACAGACCCCAGCTTTTACAAAAATGTTTCATTTTTGTGACCCTATAAATAATGGGCTATACTTTAAGAACTCTAATCTGTGATAGTACTTATAAAGCAGATATAATTTTTTAAACTTTATAAATACTTTTCCTATTTACTTGAATTATCTTAAAAATTTTTTTTTACATTCTCATGGTATAAAACAGAAAATTCAAACAGCACAGGAGGAGATGAAGTAAAAAGTAAAGTCTTCACCCACAAAGGGAACCAGTGCTTAAGAATGTCCTGTTTTTTCCAGAAATGTTCTACTCATATATAAGCATGTGTGCAAACACACACATACCCTTTTCTTTACAATTTTTCTATGAATGGACATATGCTGTGCATACTCCTCTACAGCATGCTTTTTAAACTTAATTTATTTTGTACATATTTCCTTGACCATCCACAAATCTACCTCATTCTTTTAACAGGACCTACTATTCCATTATTGTCTATGGTGTTGTTGTGCTGACTGCCTTCAAGCCAGTTCCAACTCCTAGCAACCCTATAACTCTATAAGACAGAGTAGAACTGCCCCATAGGGTTTCCTAGGCTGTAAACTTCACTGGAGCAGACCACCAGGTTTTTCTCCTCTGGAGCAGCTTGTGAGTTCAAACTGCCGACCTTTCAGTTAGCAGCTGAGTGCTTAATCACTGTGCTACCAGGGCTCCTTATTATTGTCTAAATTCTAATAAATTTAATTAGTCCCTCATCATGTCCATGTAGGCTATTTTCAGTTTTTTGGTACTACAGAAATGCTGCAGGGAATATACTCACATGTATTTCTCTATATTCTTCAGCAAATTTATTTGTAGAATAAAATCTTAGACATGAAATTGCTGGATCTAAAGATATGTTAATGCTCATTGACCTAAGACCATCAGAAGCACATCTGTAGTCAAAAAAAAGGTTAGGTTTACTTAGCCACAACAAGGGAGGAAATACTCCAGGGGACTGTGTATCATCTCTGTAGGAGGGAGTTTGGAGGGGCTTTTACAGGATATGGGCTTGTGCTGGCTAATTCTAGGGAGGATTCAAAGGAGCAGGAGCAGTTCTGGGTTGGATGTTGTCTAGAAGCAAGAGCAAGTCTGTGATGGGGGATCTTGTGTTTTTCTAGAAGGAAAGAGAATTAAAGTTGGGCTGTAAGTCGACTCGATGACAAGCAACAATAATAATGTCATTGGCAAAGGATCAGTGATTACAGACGTTGTCATAAGAGGGGGGTGTTTAATCACTTTTGTGTGCTGAGTGGCCCTGTCTCTGTCTTACTCCAAACATGGCCACAGAGTGGCCTTGTCTGGGCATTGCTTTAATCTGTGGATATTTTTTATGGTCACCTGGGAACGTCATGGGCTACGTGCCAGCAGCACTTTCTTTTACTTCTTCAGGTACATTGATTTTAAATGTCTGTAGATATTAAATAGCTTTCTGTCATGGACTGAATTGTGTCCCCCAAAAATATCTGTCAACTTGGCTGGGTCATGATTCCCAGTATTGTATGTTTGTGTAATCTGATGTGATTTCCTTTTGTGTTGTAAACTCTATTACTATGATGTAATAAAATGGATTAGCAGCAGTTATACTGATGAGGTGTACAAGATTGGATAGTGTCTTAAGCCAGTCTCTTTGGAGATATAAAAGACAGAAGCGAGCAGAGACACATGGGGACTTCATACCACCAAGAAAGCAGCACCGGGAGCAGAGTGCATCTTTGGACCTGAGGTTCCTGCGCTCAGATACTCCCAGACCAAGGGAAGACTGATGCATCACAAGGACCTTCCTCCAGAGCTGACAGAGAGAGAAAGCCTTCTCCTGGAGCTGACGCCCTGAATTTGGACTTGTAGCCTACTGGACTGTGAGAGAATAAATTTCTCTTTGTTAAAGCCATCCACTTGTGATATTTTTGTTATAGCAGCAGTAGATGACTAAGACACTTTCCAAAAAGGTATACTGATTTACATTCTTCAGAGTTCTTTTAAAGACTCAACTTCCCTAATGTAAGGAATTTCACAATGAGAATAACTATAATAATAATGACAATTATAATAACAGTCGATGTTTATAGAACCACTTCCTATGTGCCAACCACTGTGCAAAGCCCATCATTTCATAGAATGTTCATCAGGAGGTATGAGGTAGGTACTAGTAACATCCCCCTTTTCATATGAAGAAACCAGCAAGGGAGAGTAGCTTGCCTGGGTTACGTGGCTGACCGACGAAGAGCAGAGCTGGGATTCAGGACCAGGCATTCTAATTCCAGAGCCCACACTCTTTACCATTAAGAAATACTTTCTCTTTCATTTGGTTTACAGGAGTTCGCCAAGAAGAATTTAAAGCTAACGCATTAGGGGTCATTTAGTTGATGATTATAAATCTTTCAACGGCTGGTTTAGGTCGATAGCGAAGTAGAGTCAGTCCCATTTACAAAAATGAGATTTATGGGCAGTGTTTCAGGAACCACATATATACTGTTAAGTGAGGCCTCCAGCTTGAGGTACTTAGCTATTTGCATCAATTAATTTGCATCAATTAATCAATTAATAAAGGTCTATGCGAGCTTTTTTAAAATCACAGCCAGGACACTATAATTAAATATTCTCTGGGCCAGCTGGAGCTCAAAGAAACAAACCAAAAAACCCAAACCCCTCGCCACTGAGTTGTTTCTGACTCATGGCGACCCCGTGTGTTACAGATTAGAACTGCTCCATAGAGTTTTCTTGGCTATAATCTTTATGTTAACAGATTGTCAGGCCTTTCTTCCAGGGCACCGCTGGGTGGGTTCAAAGCATAGAGGGTGTTTAAATAACCTGCAGGGAAATAAGTAGGTGAAGGACATCGCATCCCCTTGGGTCCACTGAAGTCCATGCTGTGTGAGGATGGGGCCTGGGAGACTTTGCTGGAAGGATTTTGTGCAGGTAAAGAGTACAGTATGAAATGGTGCTTAGGTAAGTAGTTATGGAGCGTGTAATGGGTGCACACTGGGCTCAGAGTTGGTCTTTGTGCTTGGATTTAGTGAAGCAAACGTGTAGTAACTCTGCTGGTTACTTTTCCAGATTGCGCTGGCTGTGGAAGAGACATCAAGAATGGGCAGGCGCTGCTGGCGCTGGATAAGCAGTGGCACCTGGGGTGCTTTAAATGCAAGTCCTGCGGAAAAGTCCTCACCGGGGAGTACATCAGCAAGTAAGAAACTGTGGCTGGGTGTGCAGATCCTTGAAGGCTCCCTTCTCAGGGACCCTACCCCACGGCCATCACACATGCTAAGACTCACTCGCTTCCCACAATCAGTATGAATTTTTGGCTATAAAACTCTTGAAAAGAAATTTTATTCCTTGCTTTTGAAATAACGTGGCTACTGTAAATTTAATGAAATGTTCTCAGTTGCCTAATTTAACAGCGTCACTGGGTGGTGCAAACGGTTAATGGCTCGGCTGCTAACCCAAAGGTCAGCAGTTTGAGTCCACCCAAAGGCACCTCGGAAGAAAAGCCTGGCGATCTTCTTCCAAAAAATCAGCCATTGCAAACCCTATGGAGTACAATTCTACTTTGTCACACATGGGGTCACCATGAGTCAGAATTGACTCAACGGCAACTGGTACTGGTGATTTAACGATTCGTGATATTGATGTAATGTTATGCTGTGTTTTATAGGCAATTACACATTTAATAATTTTTATTTTGCTACCTTTTCCCCTATTTTGGAGCTAGTAAACCTTTTTCCCAGGTCTCAACCATATTTATAGACCCCCCTCCGCCTCCCCGCCACCAAAAAAAAAAAACCACACACACCCTGGGTCCATATAACCAATGAACAGAACAGCCTGCCAAGGATTAGGTCCAAGTTCACGTCAGATGTCCTTTGTGGATAATAGCTAGAGTGGTGGTTCAGTGAAGTTTAAAAAAAATGTATCCCAGAAACACTAGTTATAGTGTCTACTTTTGGGTTGAGGAGGAAGGAATGAACCTGGGGGATCGGGTGGAGAATGAGGCAGACTTTTCCACTGTATACCTTTTTATGCTTCAAAAAATATCACCTGTTCAAAAAAAAAAATTAAATGAATTTAATTTTAAAACATAGTGAAACAAACACAAAATGTAATATAGGTCCCACCCCCTAGAGAGTCTAATTCCATAGGTCCAGGGGAAAGCTGACATACCTGTATTAGAAACTCAACAGGTGACTCTGAAGCAGAGCCAAAGTAAGAAGAAAGAAATGACCAGCTTTTAAACTAACGTCGAAGGCTTTCTAGTAGTAGGTAACTTGGCTGTCTAGAGTGGTGCTTTTTAACATTTCCACGCGATGGGCACACATAACAAATGATCATATTTTTGCTATGCTCTGAGGTAAATGCACGAGGTTGCCCAAGGCTGGAGGAGAAGGCCCAAGGCCCCTCAGGCCTCCCGAGGCCTGAGGAGATGGCTGTCTCAACACTTTTGGGACGCTCTGGTCTGCTTTGTGAGCTCAAGGAGACAGTATGCGGAGAAAAGGAGATGTTTGGGTCTCCTCACAGGTGGACAAACACTTTGACCCTATCTGGAGCCCATCTGGGCTGGTGATAAAAGAGAACGATGCAGGGTGACGGCTAGTAAGGTCTAAGCGGCCTCGGGGGAATCATGAGGAGATTCAGCCATTATGTCTGTGTGGCCTGGTGAACCAAGCTCTCTCTCTAGATCATCTGGTTTCATGGGTTTTGATCATGTCTGTCCACGTCACCAGGCATGTTAACGCTGGACAGGAGGGACATACATTCTACTACCATTCCGTGGAACAGACTCAGAGAAGTGTACGTTCTATGTCTTCTCACTCCTGGCCTTTCCTTTCAGGAGCTGAATGCATTTTTATCTTGCAGGGATGGTGCTCCGTACTGCGAGAAGGACTACCAGGGGCTCTTTGGGGTAAAATGTGAAGCCTGTCACCAGTTCATCACAGGAAAAGTCCTGGAGGTAAGTGATAGATGGTCTCCCCTCAAAGCCACTACCATTTTCCCCAGAGGCCCTCAGAAACACACGAGAGCCTCTTTTCCTATCTCTCCCATCCTTTTCCCACCAAAGGAGGAAAGAAAGTGGTTGCAGATGATTAACATCTTAGAGAACGGGTGTGTTGTGCTGCCCTCACAGGCAGTGTCTACCAAATGCTCGTGTACAAATTGGAATGAAGGAGAACTTGAAGGAAAAGAAAAGAATGATAAAGGATCTATTGGTGATTATATAGAAGGAAAGATTATACTAGACCATTTTTATTTTTGGAGGTTAGAAAAGAGGAAATGAAAAGAAAGTGGTAGAGCTATGTGTGTATACCTGTGTGAGTGTGTGTGCAGGTATGTGTATATAAGTATGTGTGTAGGTGTGCAGGTGTGTACAGGTGTGTGGGTACGTGTACATGTGAGGGTGTGTGTACAGGTACATAAGTGTGTGTGTACAGGTGTATGTGGGTATGGGGTGGGTACATGTGTGGGTGGGTGTGCGGGTATGTGTATATATGTATGTAGGGGCGGTGTTTGGACAGGTGTGTGGGTGTGTGTACAGGGATGTAGGTATATGTGGGGGGGTGTGAAAGTGTGTGTACGCACATGTGAGTGTGTGCTTGTGCACATGTAGATTTAGAGAGCAGAAGCTCAGAACTGAGGCTGAGAAAAGAAAGGGTGGGTGACAGGTGAAGGCACAGACCTCCCCACCCTTAGAAAACCACATCCTGTGTGACCGAGAACACCCTGTGGTCTGGCGGAGCCTGTGAAGTTGAGGTGTGACTGCCTGGAGCTGGAGAGCTTTGTTCCTGCTTCCTCAGCAGCTGCCCCACCAGCTTCTGAGCCGAGTTCCTCTTGAGTTGGAGGCCCCTCACATGAAATTATGGGGCCATAGTTCAGAGGGAGTCATTGCCCACTTATCACAGGCCTGTAGGGCGTTAACCAATTCTGATCGGAAAAGTAAAGATTGCCACAGCCACACCCCACATTTCAGGGTGGAGAACCTGTATGAAGAGAAGTAGGTCTGGGAACCCAGCCACTGGGACTGGGACTGGTTTTGCCACTTGTCACCTCATTCTGTCATACACCAGGGCATGGAATCCATGGAACCACGTCCAAACTTCCCCAAAGGGCATATTTCAGAAGCACAGGACATAAATCCTAGATGCTCACCAAGGTGGTTCTGGGCCGCTCTCTCATGGGATTTCACAGCAAAGGTCCCTCTTAGACTCACTGGTCCCACTGCAGGCTCTGCAATGCGTTTCTTTCATGATACACAGAGGGACCACCTCTGCGCTAGGAAAATGCAGCAACCTGCACTTGGGAGTTACAGGAAGCCATGTTGTCAAAGGCAGCTGCCTCTCAGCCAGGGGAAGCGTGTTCTAGGACGAGAGAACAGCACCTGCCGAGGCTCAGAGGTGAGGACAAGCGCAGAACAGGCAAGAAACCAACCAGAAGCCCGTGGGCAGAGCAGAGTGGGAGAGATGATGCTGGAGAAGTGGGGAGGGCCAGAGCACAAGGGCCTCAAAAGTCACCTTCGGGAGTGTGGGCTTTGTCCCAGGAGTGGCAGGGAGCTATTGAAGTGATATAGCTGGAGTGTAATGTGATTGGATCAGATTGCTGTATAAAGAATGGATGGAGGGGGAGGCTGAGGACAGGCAGACCAGTTAGAAGACTACTGCAGAAGTCTGGGTACAAAACAGTGGCGGCACCAGCTGGCACAAAACCTGAAAAGTGGACCCCCACCCTCCCCACACACAGGTCAGGGTGGGAGAGTTTTCATGGTCTTTCCAATAAAGCTTTCACGGTCAGCCCTAGTATACTTCAAGGCTAGGGTTTTGGCCCAGGAGAAGCATGTGCCCAGGAAGGCTGTTGGAGAAGATGGGTGTGACCCATTCAAAGGGCACCTTGGAGTCCAAGTGGTCCTGTCCTAGCATTCAGAATGCATGGCTGGGGCTCCCCTGCCTCTCCCCTGAGTGAGCCTATCGTCCCTCCCCAGACTCCAAAGAGCTCCTCTCAAGAGGAACCCTGATTGTGACCCGGCAGCATTTCCCTTGGGGTTCCCAAGCTTGATCTGCTGTGCAGGGTGGAAATAAGCCCGTTGAGTTGGGAGCAATTAGGAAATTTCATTTTGCAAAAATAAAAACATCAGAATCATCTCCCAGATGTGCAGCTGTAGGATGAGAGGTAGGAAGACACAGAACGCAGCCCCCAGATATGAAACAACCACGTTTGCAGAAGGCATGATTGAAGTAACTGTCTCCTGCGTCCGTACAGGGAACTGTGCTCCCCAAAAGAGTTGGGGAGGCAAAAGGGCTGTGGTGGGTGTGTGTGTCTTGATTACTTTCAGATTTAGTTCAACAGCTGTGGGAAGTAATATCTAAAATAAAGCTAGGTCCAAGAACATGCCTTTTTGAAGAAACATCTGCCTACCCCCTTTTTCTCTCTCAAGGCCCAAGTATTTCAGTGTTCACTGCGTCTGTAAAGGCCTCTTACCAAACTGGCTTCAGGTTTCAGGAAAGGCCCTTTTGTAAGGGTTAAGGCTGGGGTGCTTTCCACAGACTGCTTTCAGAGTTGGGACGTTTGGGAGTAGTTTGCACCATGTTCAGCCTTAGAGTTGGGATCCACCCGGCTGGCGTGTTGTCCCTCCCAGATGGGTGTGTGATCTAGAAAAATGAGTCCTGCGAGGTTATCACCCTGGCATATGACAGCTTGTGAGTCAGTCTGCCTTGGCTACAATGTAAAACAGGGCTGGTGTCCACACAGTCCGCCCTCCTCCACCCTTCCTGCTCTGACCCCATTGCTGGCAACACACTGTGATGGTGGGTGTGCTGTAAATACTGTGATCCCTGATTTTTTTTCTGATTGAGTTTGTCCCTGGTAGTTATTGCAAAGGTGCCTGTTCAGCAGTTCAGAAGTGGGCAGTAATAGAAGCTCCAACGTGAAAGTCAGAAGATATTGTAAACCCAGCAAATGGCATGATTGTTATTGGCAGGGGCTGAAGTTCTGGAGTGGCTTTTATTTGACACACTAAGCAGTGCCCAGGGAGCCCTGGTGATGCAGTGGTTAAGGCACTTGGCTGCTAACCGAAAGGTTGGCAGTTCAAACCCAAGAGCTGCTCCAAGGGAGAAAGATGTGGCAGTCTGCTTCCGTAAAGATTTACAGCCTTGGAAACCCTATGGGGCAGTTCTGCTCTGTCCTGTAGAGTCGCTATGAATAAGAATCCACTGGATGGCAGTGGGTTTGGTTTGGTTTTGGTAAGCAGTGTCCTGAGGCCTCCTCTCTGGGTGTGGTTTTACCTGAGAAGCCACCAGACACCTGAGCGAGCTTTGAGGAGGAGAAAGGGCACTGGGCAGTGATGAGAAACTCCAGGCTCAGCTGTGACAGGAACCCCTGAGTCATTTTGGGCAGGTCATTCAGGCTCTTGGGTTCTGTCTTCATTTCACAGGAAAAGGGACTGGCAAGTGGCCTTTGAGGCTCCATCCTGCTGTAAATACACCCTCTCTGTGTTATTCTTTCATAGTTATCTATTCTATACATCACATCAGCTTGAATGAAGGGGAAGGACAGGGTCTGAGAACCAAGAGGTTTAATGAGAAGGGGCTCTGGGTGATAGGGAATCCTACATCTACTCTTGGCTCTAGAACTCACCAGCCGTGTGACCTTGGGCAAGTCTCTCAACTTCTTTGAGCCTCAAGTTTTCTTTCTTTATTGAAAGCATTAAAATATATACAGTTAGTTGTATGTGTTTTCACTAAAAATAAAATAATAATAATAAATAAATAAAAATGTAAAAAATATATATATATGTATGGTAGCCAGTCCTCATTATTCATGGAATTGGTGTTTGTGAATTCCCCTACTCGCTAACATTTATTTGTAATTCCACAATCAACACGGGCCATGCTTTTGCAGCCATATGCAGAGCAGTGAAAATTTGAGTTGCCCAATGTGCACGTTCCCAGCTGAGGTCAAATAGGGGACACTCTGCCTTCTTCTTTCAGCTCTCATGCTGTAAATAAATGTCCTATTTAGTGGTTCATTGTTTCATTCTTGGTGATTTTACTGTTTAAAATGGCCCCCAAGCGTAGTGCTGAAGTGCTGTCCAGCGTTCCTGAGCACAAGGCTGTGATGTGCCTTATGGAGAAAACGCATGTGTTAGATAAGCTTCCTTCACGCATGAGTTATAGCCCTACACCAATGATGGAACTGTTGCCATGAGTTCAATGTTAATGAATCAACAATATATATTAAATAAGGTGTCTTTAAATAGAAACGCACATAAGACAAGATTCTGTACTGATCGGTTGATGAAAATGTTGTGACCAGAGGCTCACAGGAACCTAACCCCGTGTTTCGCCAGGAGCAGTGGCTCAGTATTCGCTAATTCAGTGTCTTCGGCAGCTTTATAGACCATAAAACCCAAAAAACCAAACCCATTGCCGTCAAGTCTATTCTGACTCACAGCCACCCTACAGGACAGAGTAGAATTGCCCTGTAGGGTTTCCAAGGAGCGGCTGGTGGATTCGAACTGCTGGCCTTTTGGTTAGCAGCCGAATGCTTAACCACTGGCACCAGCAGGGCTCCACTTGTAGATCATAACTACCACAAATAACAAGAACTGACTGTTTATGTAAAACCTAAGCATTGGGCTACTTGACTCCCAAAGTCCCTTTGGCTCTGATGATCTGAGTTCTGTGACTCTCATGTTGTGGATTTAAGGTGTCAGAGCCAGCTGTTCTTTTTCCTAGAGATATTTTTCTGAAAACTGGAATGTGGCACTCAGCATATAGTATATGCACATGAACGTACTGTTGGTACACTCAAAGTGTAGCTTCATTTATCACGATTTGCTTTCAGTTTTTTTTCTATAGCAAGGTTTGTTTTTTAGGGTGCTCTTGCCATAAATAGCACATCTTTAAAAGCTCATGCTAATTAACCTATAAATTCAGGAACATTCTGAAGATGTTTACAACCTGC